ATATAATCAATTGAGGACCCATACTTCGGGAATCAATTATACAATTGATGTCCTTATCCACCAATATCATATATCAAGTCCAAAGATAACTCAACATACATGAAAAATAATGGGATATTCTCAATATTTATCACGATATCTCTCTAATGAGAGATTTAGTAAATCTTGTTAGCAAATTCATCACAAATGCAGTATCAGGCCTGATGCAGTTTGCGAGATAAAAGTTCAGCACAATTGCGCTTGATAAATAAACTTCATGTCGTTTGTGGACTTCAAGTCCATTTGAACTCCAGGTCCTGTAATATCCTCATTTGTTTCTTTGGATCTTTGTAAAATGCCAAATATTTGACACTCATTGGTGTTACAATTTTACATCTCTAAAAGAGATTCAAGTAAATTGGTTGGTCAAAAATATTCCTTCTATGAGATGCTCGATCTACAAGTCGAGATAATACTCTTTGGTATTTAACCAAAAGTTTCATCCTTACTCCGTCTATAAGCATGAGCTAACTTATTTAATATTTTACATAGTGTTCACCACATAATCTATTTGACCGAGATTATCATTATACACAAGGTTCTACCTTGAATTACTTACTTTACTTCTTCAGGAAGAATTTAGTTGGTTGTACCACATCTTACCAACATTATAAATAATTAAACTATTTATTATTTCATTATCTTTCATCTCGGGTATTCGAGTCCATCCAGGACTTTCACATATGACTCAATAGTCATGGTAATATTGCTGCCATAAATATTAACTTGCGGAATCATTGATAATGAGAGAACTTATCGAAATAAATATTTGGGTCTCTGCATAAACCCATGAGCATAATCTCGCTATATTAACATCACACCACCACATCACATGTTTCATATAAATATTCATTATCCTTCTGGGACATATTATCCTTCTGGGATATATCGTGTAGCGAGTGAAAGCTCTGCCTCAATTTTTTTTTCTATCTCAATTAACCTAAGTGCTTCTAGCACTTTCATTATTCTGATCCGGATCATTATATGAGATAGTAAAGAAATCACATAGGCAAGTATGTTGTCGACAACTATGGTATTCAACTTATATTTTTCTCTCAACCATATATGCAACTTCTTATTTATTAGCCATATTTATAATCATTTCCCATAATATCTAATTTTGGCCGTTCCGCATTTCCAGTACTATAATGGTTTGATGCACGTGCAAGATGTACTGGATCAACTCTTCAGGAGTTTCTTATAATGGAGTGTTAATTCTTGAATATACGTTTTCCGCGGATTTTCATACATCATATATTAATTATATCACCTTATGCTTCTAGCATCAAGGAGTCAATCATTCCCTAGGGAATTTGCTTACTTTGTGGTACATCTATATATTCACAAATTGGTCACTCCATTATTATTATAGATTTCGCTTGGCAGAAATATAATATGAACTTCAAGGTCGATAATTATTGCGTGGTTTCAAATAATTTATATTTCACATATTTCACGTCATTAATAAACTTCACGGCATTAATAAACTTATGCTTATATCTCCCCCTAATGCCGTGAAAACATCTTCATATATTATGCAAAACACGTACCAAGTAATAAATTGATCCCCTGTAATGGCCTCTAGGTATTAAAAATTCGACGGAGTATAAAATTCATAGCATACCTAGTTTGTAATATAGGCCCAAAAAGGTACTAATTGGTGGTGATATAAAATATTGCATAATAAAATAATAATAAATTGCAGATGGGAAATGTTCGATTCTCCACGCATTTTAGGGAGAAATTATCATAAATAATTGCCCAATATGATCCAACTGCTCATGCTAATTATCAAATATACATGTTGGGCATCGGAGTATAATAATCATTTCTAAGTGAACACTATATGCTTCAGGCACTACAACTGAACTTTGATTGTGAGCCTTTTATTATAGCTGTCAACTATATTATGTGCTTCAGGCACCACATATAAATTTAATATTGTAGCTATCAACAATATAATTCAGTGGTATGCATCTTATCAAATATACAAGCAAACATAAATATTTTCAGAATACTTGTGTATAGATTCAATCTATGTAACATTCTGGTTACATAACTTCATTAAGAGTATATTGAATATGCAGAGCTGATCTAAAATCAAAAGATCATGAATTTATCTAAAAATCAACGAGATAATTTACTAGATCAATCTTTTAAAGATACTCACAAGATAATTCTTATGCAATTATGATACTGGTCAACAGGACCAATCCTTAAGGAATAGCCAAATCTAGGTCGATAGTGAAATTCATTAGAGATAACTTTAATTATATAATCCTTCAGGGAAACTCATATTCATAAGAATAAGAATCAACAAGATTATTGCTCTGCAATTTATGACAGGAGTAAAAAATAACTATACAAGTTGAATACCATTCATTTGGTCCATTAGTCAATTAGAGTAAAGTTCAAGATATTCAAATTGATTTAGGCTTAATAAATTTGGATCACATTCGTACTCAATGCATAAAACAACGAAATAAATATGCAACTATCATTTCCAAACTAAATTCATGTCGTAATTGCATATTTTGATAGCTTCACCATATATATTCAAGCAACATACATAGTTCGCATGATAAAATTATGCCACATATGTTGCATGCGTAATCAGATGCATAGACAAATTAATAATATATGTGGACAATTTTATTTTATAACTCTTCAAGAGTATGACAATTGAAGTATGAGAGACTTCATTACATAAGACATATAATATTCTCATTCATCAAAAATAATCTTTACCCAGAGAATAATGTCTGCTACACATATCTTACGTGCGTTGCTACTATCAAATCTAACAAGTAATGTGAGGATCAATGATATGATACATATCAAACAATATATGCTCATTACAAATAAAGACAATTAAATCAAGAAAATATACAGTCTTATAGAAGATAGATAATATTCTATCATATATCTCACATAAAAATTATAATTTTGTATATGTGCTTCTGGCACTAGTACAATCTCAATAAACTATTTTTATATCACTATTCGTAATATATTGTGTCCATGAGTATTGATTTAGTTGGATTTCATTATTCCCATATATTACTTCAAGAATACAAACTGTTCATAACAAATCATAAAACATTCGATAGCATAATTCAAAATTAGTCATCAATACTTACTCACAATGTAATTATTCTTTTATTTCGATACTTTTATCGGTGTTGATCCTTCAGGGAGTATATCAAACTTTATTGCTAACTTATAAAAGATCCTTCAGGGAGCGTATAAGAAATATAATTAGAAATATTTTATTTACTTGATTTGTATATTATAAGATTAT